GCTTATCAAAATATGAATTATATGGATGGACGGCTTCGATAAAAATCTTGTTCATGGAAATTCGGTAATTACTCAAACTACTTTGAAAGCCTCATTGAGAAATAACAGAGAAGTTATGATACCAATACAGACTGTATTGGCATCCAATGGTTCAAAAACGGCCATTGCCATAATAACTTTTTCGTTATTTATACTGTATATCCACGGAGTGAATATCTATATTCTTCGATATTTACGGCTCTTCTATGTCACTGTACCTTTATTAAACTTTTAGGATATGTACTGAGTATTCATGTATAAGGAAAAAGGTTTATAAACAAAGTTGTCCTAAAAGTTTAGAAGCCTTGGACTAAAAATTTCCAACTAAACTCAGTTCGTGAGATGAATTGAGTTGAATTGTAGTTAGGTATGCACCTGAGAACTGCATATGAGAACTGAAATTGTTGGAAAAAAGTTTTGAAATGAATTCAAAAGAAATTTTAAATTCTATTGACCAAAATGCAGTAAAAAGATCAAAAGTATTTCAATAGCAATGGTTTTCGAAGCTGAAGTTTATGGGGTATAAGTCGTTGATTATGAAGCTCCTAACGGCACTGCTGCTGTGATTCAAACAATCTAGTACGATCTCTGTGAAATGCACTACGCATTTTACGCATCTCTAAGCTCCATAACCAATTACTTATACCCCATAAACTTCAACGTCGAAAAGCATTCCTATTAAAATACTTCTAATTTTTTTACCGTATTTTCTGCAATAGAATTTAAAATTTCTTTTGAATTCATTTCAAAACCATTTTCCAACAGTTTCAGTTCTCACAGTTCCCGTTAACTGAAACTGGTGCATATCTTATTGTAGTTGATCCTTTGCTGAGCTTGCCCAGGTGTGCGTTTATCGTCGAAAAGGGTATAAGAACCTATTTTACCGCTGACGGGTAGTGGTAATGACCTATTATCGTTACCGCCAACACCTAATGAACTGTGATGTTTTTCGAAGTGTGAAGGATTTAATATTTTTATCCTTTCCTTTTCTTTTATAAATATGACTGACGAAATGTCACTTTTTGCTTCAAAAGAGTAGATCTTTTGCTGTCGCTTTTTATGTATCGTGATCATACTTATTCATATTCATTCATACATATAATATTACTAGATTGGAAAAACTCATGGTTGATGGTAGTGAATTTCTCGTAAAATCCTGCACGGTATAACTAGGTATGCACCAGTTACAGTTTTTTACAGTTAACTGTAACTGTGAAAACTGTAACTGTCATAACAGTGTAACTGTTATAACTGTAACTGTCGTAACTGTAGACAAATATTCTAGAGTGAATTAGTCTTCTACGATTTGGAGACATTTTAAGAACAGAGACATCCTTAAAATGTATGCAAATCGTAGAAGACTAATTCACTCTAGAATATTTGTCTACAGTTATGAGCAGTTACAGTTTTGACAGTTACAGTTATGACAGTTACAGTTTTACAGTTATACAGTTACGACAGTTGCAGTTATAACAGTTACACAGTTATGACAGTTACAGTTTTACAGTTATACAGTTACGACAGTTACAGTTATAACAGTTACACAGTTATGACAGTTACAGTTTTACAGTTATACAGTTAACTGTAACTGGTGCATGCCTACGTATAACTAGGAGAACAAATTGATGTTATAAGCTAATTTTTGAAAATTCATTACTATTGTGTTCTCATACCCTCCTTTGACAAATTCATATACAGCAAGATTTTCTCCATTTCTACCAACAAAAACTGGGAAGACTCAAAAAGTGCCAGAAAATATCAGAATTTTGCAAGAAAAGAGCTGAAACTCTCTTTCCCACAATAGAAGGTCGTGATCCTATAAAATGTAACGATGAATCGCAACTTTCTCGATGTTCTTCTAATTCAGATAACTTTAAGTTTTACACTAGATCGTCAGCGGTCTTCTACTATATCCCATCAAACTTTTATCCGAAGGTGCCTTTCTAATTTTTTAAATACTTTACTCTCCTGGCGTTACAGAACTGTCAAGCTTATCCTTTTAAAACTTGTCATTATTATATCTTCTTTCACAAATGATGTTCAAAATAAAAGTAATAGCCTTACATGCGTGCTTTTAAGATTATTCGCTCTTCCTGCTCGATGTCAGATAGATATCTTTCATTTCTATAATTACACAAACAGAAAGTAAATCTCTGTTCATTACTCTTCTCAATACATAGATAACCTTGTACTATCAGTCATATGTATGCGTGTGTATATGTTGAAAGAAACAAGAAAATAATACATCTATAAACAGGGTACAGTGCTTGGAGATGATATGTGACTTATAAAGAAACAAAGAAAAAAATCGTACACGTATAGACAACACATTCTTTTTATTATCCAAATATATTCTTGTTATTACCTAACTATTGATATACTAAAAGTAACAGTTGTTACTACGATTAAGTGGAAGAAAAAAATATGACAGTAAATAGGACCGAATTTAGAAATCAGTTGCAGAGCGAAACTAAGTATACCATTTCATGAGGTAGTGCAAGGACTTCATATACATAATCTGAATATTAAAATCTTCAGAAGTCATTTTATTAGGAGTGTGAATCGAAACTCTTTTGATTATTAAACGTTTTCCTCAAAGAAAAGTTTTATCCAAAACATAAATGTGCGTACAAACTTTCTCCATCGCTCAGCTCTGGCTCGAATCGCCCTTTTTCAATCTCTGTTTGTGATAATGATGATGTAATAATCAGGTGTATATTTTTGTAATTAATAAACTGTGATTATGTTTAATGCAATATTTATGATCGGTAGAACTACTCTGCGAAAAGGCTCTTTCATCAAGTGTATTATTTTTTAACTGTGGCAGCTGACAATGTGGTTGCAACCTTAAAAGATTTTTGAAGAACTTACTTGTATTAATTAAAACAAATTGTCTAACAATATAAAAGAAAACTGTTTAACATAATTCTATTACATAATATAAAGTTTGTATATTTATTACAAAATCAATTTCATAGTATAATTTTACAATAAATATTGTATTAAAGAGCAATAATCGGAAAATTTATTTCGAAACATACAAGGTTTTTTGTCCGTTATCTGTTTTCACCAAATAGTGGATATGTATAATATAAAATATCGAGGCATATCATTTTCTGTTTTCATTGTACTGTGCAACTGTCATAAATAGAGAGAGAGTGAGATAAACTATTGGGCAGCTAGTATCTCTCTGTTTTTGACACTAGCGCTTTTGTATATTATATTTTTTCTCTTTCTGTGATCATCCACATACAAATGCCTATTATTCATTCTTTTACGATGATTCTCGCCCATTGATAAATGATTATTATAGTTTGTACATATTACATCGAGGAGATGACCTATTTCATTCTTCAGCTAAATGCAACAAAGCATCAGTCATGGAGACCTCCTCAGATATTTAAAGAATACCGCATCTACGACCGGCTACATGCAGCAAGAATGAAGAAGAGAGCTGGGAGAGGGTATCCATTCTTATCAAGACTACTCTCCACATTAAGGATATTTTTAACATCATTGTAGGTATAATAATAATAAGGACCAATAATGACGACAAAAGAGTAATATTAAAAGTAGAAAAAAACAGTAACAATTACACGAACTAAAAATCACAAAAGGCCCCATAACCGAGCACTCAAGGACAATAAAAGAAATAGGTTCTAACCAGTGAACTAGTATCCTCAAATAAGTTTAGTTGTCCCACAAAACCTATTATTAGGGCAAAACCTTTCTGCAGAAAAATCTGAAGTTCGTAAATGGATAAAAACACGATTAGAGAACAGAAAATAACAAACTATCGTCATTAGTAAAGGCCACAAATCAGACGAGAAGACAGTCGAAACATCCAGCTTATGTAAAGGAAGAAACACCTCCCGCCACACACTGCCAAAAATACCCAAATGTGTACTATGAAAAATTCGTGGAAGAATCAGTGTTATATTCACGAAAAGGTCGTGTCACGGGTTCTGCACTGCTATACAAATCTTGATTATATACAAGCCAATGCGTATAAACAGTGAGCTTCAGTTTATCATGCACTGAAGAGAAAACCGATCAAACACGATAAGCAAATAATTACCTACTAATATTATATAACCTGTATATCTGTAACTATATCACGTAATGACCCCCCAATAAACGAGTCTTCGCGTTAGTGTCGTTCAAGGGTCATTGCGGTAACGTTGTTCTCGGTAATGTCGTGTCACGGTGCTTGTCACAGGGCAACGTACAAAAATTGTGACTTCCAGTTATTTAGCAATCTTGCCTATGTGATAGGTTAATTTTATATGTGGGTCTCTCACGATATAAAACTTGAATATCTCTTCCTTGTTTTGTTGGCCTTAATCCTGAGTAATAAAAATACCGAATCTAAATCGCAGATATAACTGGTTTTCGACTGTCTGCTGCGCTAAAGCTCTCCGTAAGTTTCCTGCTCTGTTGCTGACTCGTTCACCGTCAACTCTTGACGAAATTTCTTCGGACACTTCCTTGTCGATCTCTACTAAGATCAGCTATTCGGCGCTTCATCTGTTCCCAAGAAGAACCATCACTTGTATTATAAAAATAAATCAAATTCAAGAAAAAGTCTGAATGTACAGAAAAGTTTATGAAATTAAAAAATTGAGTGTTTTTAGGCTTTGAAGGAAAATCTTCGAAAATGCATAGCTTTTCGAAGAAAGTTCGTGGAGTGATGGGAGTGGTCTCATTTTGTAGCCCACACTTTCCTCTACATTTGGCTCAGCTCCAAAGCCGGAATTTTTCAAAAAAGAGGGGGTATCCTTAGGGGATTATTCTGAAGAAAGTGGACCAACAAAAACGTCTACATCGACAAGAATTTCAACAATTGTTTATGGATTAGTTTCAGCAGGTGAATCAGGTGCAATTAATGAATCAAAGTTTAAGTTGAATATTGGACTAGCTGGCAATTATGGTGAAAAGAAGCAGTGGCTAGTGAATCAATCAGTCACTTGATGACGGATTATCAACAGTGTTGGATGAGAACGATAAATCAATCAGCAAGTTTGAAATGGTACTATTTCCCGGAATATACAATAACTGATCAACAACAGCAACATTTTTGCTAGTAAATGAACTTGATTGATTAGTATCACTAACTTCATCTTGTAAATCTTCATTTGCTTCAACGGATGTTGGTAGTTGAACTTCATCTTGTATAGCTTGATCTTTCAGAATTTTCTAAAATTCGGATTTGGATTTTGGACGTTGACCGAACAAAACACCATTTGCGCGCTCAACACAAACCTGAGACTGTAGATGTCGTGGACGATCTAGAACAAAACACATGTCTGGAAACAAGACTGTCAATTCAAATTCGGCACCGTTGTCCAAATGCAATAAACATGACGGCCAGAAAATGAAAAGCAATGCTCTCAGTTTTCTGGCCACTTCAGGCGCTGATTTACTCTGCAATGGGTAACTCCAGAAAATTTAGAAAATGATCAATGCAATTTAAAATTCATAAATATGAAACATCAACTGATATAACATCCGGACGTGTTTGTATATCAATCAAATCAATTTGCAGACGCAACATGACACCCAATGAAATAATGGGCTTTGAAATGACTATTTGTTTGATCGATTTTCGTAGTTGACAAGTTGAGCAATGTTTTAGATAAATTTCAATAACATTTCTTGGATTCCATGAATAATGTAATGCAACTTCAGTAAGTGTTTTGTCACGACCACCATGTGAAATATTTTTGTGATATTCTTTGGTAATATAATAAAATGATTCATAAATACAAACAGGCTTGTTATATATACAGTACAAAACATCAACATCTGAAATTTCTTTTTCTGAAAAGTTTTTCTAGCTCAAAACGCAAATGGTGTAGAAAACGATTTGGACAATGTACCTTTTTCTAATGATAATGTCGCTATAATATTTTGATGTATAATATTTTTAATAATATGTTTTTCGCGAAATTTTTTAGTGAAGCGAAAAAGTTGACGCTTCTTCTTTAAGGCCGGTAGATCACACTTTAACACAAGCTCGGCGACTATCATTATAGTTGAGATTTCGAGAGGTTACACGGGCTACGAGTCGTTGGATACTTTCTAAAGGCTGCAGATGGGTAGAAAAATCGGAATCAAATACTGCACTACCGTAGTCCATCTTAGGTAATACGCAGATTTTGTACAGTAGCTGACGGTTTCAGCGAGAGACTTTTTTGTGAAGTAATCATCCTAACATACATCTATGATGAAAATTACAGCCTTACACGTTTTATTGTTGCTGAGAAGTTGGATTTAGTGAAGTTTTGGGCTGAAAACCAGCTAAAGGGACGACATCTATAACTCTGAAAGGAAACATTTTCGAAAAGTTTTATTTTAAACGTTTTCTAGTTGTATGTAAGTGTATATGTGGCAAAAATTTCAGCTCAGTAGGTGATGGTTACGGCGGTCACCACTCAAGTACTGCCTGACTTTCTCAGAAAATGGCTCTCAAAGTATACGTAACAGAGCTTCTTCTTCTGAGTCCAGTCCATCTAGACGAAACAAATCTAGTACAATCCAGCCCAGGTCCATGTAAAAAGAGATTTTTCAGTCGATGGACTCTAAAACAAAGTAGTCATTTCAGCCCACAACACAAAAACAACATGGTTTTGGTTTATTTTTGTTTAAACTTTAACTCTCATGTCTCCAGTCCAATGGTTACTGGATCTGGTTACCCCACTGCGTCTGTATCCAAAGGTACCGAGACAATGAGCATTAGATAGCTTGTCACAGACTATTACGCGACCGATGCTGCCGGGATCCGAACTCCGTATCGTTGAAGTACGTTGTTTGGCTACCAGCCAACACATGTTTTTCTACTGATTATTCCACGATTCAAGTGAATTCAAAACTTTTTTTATAGTCCAGACTAGTCTGTGGTCTTAAAAATTTGAGTCCAGTCCGAGTCCATGAGCTCAAAAAATTTCTAGTCCAGTCCAGTTCATACCGAGCTTAGATATATAAGTTACTATAAGAAGAAAATTTGAAATGGTATACAAGATCACTAGAATTTTTCTTGTTTTCGAGCTGCACTATTTTCTGGTTCTCGACTGCCTAGAAACAGAATTACATATTTCTTTTTCTTTGGTTTAAACTATTTATTATGAGAAAAAAAGAAAAAAAGAAAAAGACGAGAAAAACACGTAGGAGGACATCAGAAAACTCACAATCGCTGAAAGGCATTGCATTTTGTAGGCTTAGTTAAATGATTAGTAAACAAAAATGCTGTACAGAAAAATCAAATAAAGTTAAACTTATGCATGGAAAAAGACAGAAGAAAGAGAGAAGAAAAAAAAGAGTTAAACTAAACATATGAATAGTAGTCTGAACGGCAGAGTCTAAACCACTGAGACTATTAGGTTCAAAATAACATAGAAAAAACATTTTTGCGTCTGACTTTGAGGAAGAAAAAAGTTCAATATTGGTATCATAACTTCTCTGTTATTTCTCAATGAGGCTTTCAAAGTAGTTTGAGTAATTACCGAATTTCCATGAACAAGATTTTTATCGAAGCCGTCCATCCATATAATTCATATTTTGATAAGC